TTCAATATGAAATCCTTTTCATTGTGTGTCAAATGCTCCTCTGTGGTACTGGGAGTACAGCTGAAGGTGCCATCATTCAGATGAAATGTAAAACAAAGATCCTAGTCATTTGCAGTTATTAATGGTGTCATGGCACTCAGTGTAGGGATAGGTGTTAACTTTTGTGTTCTGGCCAAATTCCATCTAAGGTAATTCAGTTCTAACTATCCAAAATTCCCCCCACAGCTTTAACTGAATAAGGTATTCTTCACTTCCTGTCTAGAACTGTTTTGTATGGCGCTGGCAGGAAGGTAAACAATTGTTGTGTTCCATGTGAAAAGTGGCTGCATTTCAGTGGTGGGTGAAGTGATTGCTAGATATCTATCTACCTCAAAGGAATGTTTAATTAGAAGTATGTGCAGATCCTTAGATATTTACACTGAGCAGAAATCAGCATTGGATCTGGGGCAAGTGAATATAGCCAGTAAAACAGTGACCTCAGATACCAGGTGTTAGAGGAAACATGCAAGGGTTGTGGTGCTGACAGTGATTTATGTGACTCTTGGGTTTCTTTCACAAGTCCACTGGACCTTCATTCTAAGGGCAATGGTTTGATGGTGACAAATAGAAATGGAGTGATTCCTCAAAACTATCAGAAAAATAAAATAGCCCAAGAGCAAATCTAGCTATACAAAGGACATTGGTGAAGTCTCCATTATAGCTTAGGTTTCAGAGTAACAGCCGTGTTAGTCTATATTCGCAAAAAGAAAAGGAGTACTTGTGGCACCTTAGAGACTAACCAATTTATTTGAGCATAAGCTTTCGTGAGCTACAGCTCACTTCAAGTGAGCTCACGAAAGCTTATGCTCAAATAAATTGGTTAGTCTCTAAGGTGCCACAAGTACTCCTTTTCTTTTTGCATTATAGCTTAGACTCAAAAGAAAAGGAAACTCAGACAAAAATAAAACAAAACAAATTTCACCTGTAAAAACACTGTCTTCCTCAAGTTAGCTGTTTGTTGGACAAAAATTCCCCGCCCCCCTACACTTAGTCTTCTGTAAATAAAGGGAGCTGAATGGGAAGTAATAATAGAGTCTTAATAGCATTTTTTGCACTGCTAGAGTGCTTTTGGATGATTTTATTTTAACTATAATTAATGGCCACCTAATGAAAATAATGAGCTAGAGTGAAAATCCAGTGTGAATTTAAAATGAAAAGAATACTTTGGATGCAAAAGAGAGAGAGAACAAAAACGGATGAACAAAGTCTTATGAAGCTTTTAACACCTACGACTCCCCAAACATATCAGTTTAAACATCAGCTACAGTCACTGCCGCAAGAATAAATCTAGAGGAGAAAGGTAGGTGACCTTAAAAAAGTGATGAAAGAGAGATTATAGTACACAGAGAAATGGCTTACTAAAATTTCTGAAGTAGTAAATCATTATAAAATTTCATTGGTTTACAAAAGCCTGCACAAAAGGTATTTTAAAGCATTTATAAATAACATTTGCACAGAGTCTGATCTCTGACTTCAATGGAGTTACTTGAGAATTATATCAGTGTAACTGACAGCAAATTCCAGTCAATTATATTGTATTTTTCAAGGGTTATTGTGCGCTTGAAAAGTTTGATCAAAACATCTGTTTTTCTGCTTCTTTAGCTTTACAAACTAGAACTAAGCTAGTTTTCACTAGAAATGGGCTCCAAACTGGATCATCAAATCTGAACAGTCATTCCACTCCCCTGAATTTCTGCAGGGTCTAGACCAGAATCTGATGCTAGGGTTTGAGTGTGGGTTTGATTACAAATGAGAAGGGCCTTGTTTTCTACATCTGGCTGAGGTCTGAAATCCCATGAGGATAGCTGATCTTGCATGATTTCTGGACTTGGTGGCCAAAACCTTGCAAGAAGAGGTCATGAGAGACCAAAACTTCTGTTTCAGAACTTAAATCAACTCCCAGCCTTGATTTGTCTCAAATGCAAACACAAAACTTCTATTTTAAGCCTCCTCTGGATCAAAACACTACCTCCTTGGTCCAGAGTCCATTCCTTTTTCTAGAATGTTTTACAAAGTTATGATGAACTTAAAAAGCCAAATGCAGATTAACAGCTGGAGCACAAAGAACTATGGACAGTATATAGTGTCAATCCTATCATTTTCTACCATACAAAGCGAAGGAGTCAAATAGAATGTGATGAGTAAGGGCTTTTAACACTATTTTAAACCATTCTCAGACAATTAATGGAAACATTTATGGTGGATACTCCTGTTAGTGCTTACATGAAACCGATTACCATAGCATTTAAGCATCTCCCAAATATTTAAAACTAGAAACAACAATAGCATTAACTTTTGTGTTCTGGCCAAATTCCATCCTAGGTAATTACATTCTAACTATCCAAAATACTTTCATTAATTAATTTTTATTTTGAATGGGTTAAGACTTTATTAAGGAAAACCCAAATCAGCTCAAGGTCTCTACCCTGATATTCAAAGCTCTTCTAGGTGAAATCAAAGGAATTATTCATCTTAGTATCTACCCACCAGGGGAAGTAAGGGATTCACAAGCTGGGTCTCAGGTAGTCATTTTATATAAAGAAGTTAACTGAAAGAATACTTGACCATATTCACCAAAACAAGAGTATTTTTCCTTCCTCTCTCTCTCTTTTTTAAAATGTGTAGTAGGTAACTTGTATAAGTCCCCAAAAAGAGTCCTCCAAAGCATGGGAAAAACAGGCTCCTTCCCCACAAAATTAACATCTTCCCCAACACATCAGTCCTTCATTTGATGGCCTTACTCGTCTCCTCTTCCAATAGACTCTATTAGTATTGTTATAGGAATTCTGTACAGAAGGTCAGAAATGAGATCCTCTGTAACTGATTTTGCCCCTAGGTATAAACAGTAGAGATAGGTGCACTCTGACTAACATAAGAACTATTCTGTACGTTTGAGTGAAAGCTGAATAGAACACAAACCAAACCTTTCTAAGACTTGAAAAGTTCAATCAGCTCTTTTTATCTTGAATGCCTCTTCATGTCCCCTGCTACTCATGGTCAAAACTAAGAAGACTAAATAAGATGAAAAAGGCTATTTTCACCATGATATTTCTAATCCAGAGAGAACCAGCATGCATCAGAAATCTAACATGAAATCCTGTTCTCATGAGATTTTTAGACCAGAGTTAGGCTATGTATGAAAAAGCATCAGATAAGTGTTCATACTAACCCTCAGAACCTTCTTCAGTTCACCCATCACTAATAGACAGATACCAAGTATGCCAACAGGTACACATTTTATTTTCCTGAAACTATCCTTACTTATACGTTGTTGTTTTTGTTTTTATTATTTTTAGTACACTTCATCTAGCTTATTGTTAACATACTTCTTGATTTCTTGTAACTGAATCCACTATATTTATGATAGCATTGGCCCAATTCTGCATGCTGTTGCACCAGTGTAAATCAGAAATAACTCTACTAAAACAACAGAGGGCAGAATTTGGCCCTATTTGTTTAATATCAAATATACTATCAAAGTCATGACTATATTGCAGGGACACAGGGATCAGATCCGCCAGTGTGTGTAGGAATGTCAAATAATTTACTATATACCTCTGGATACATCCTACAGAACTAAAGTCTACATCTTGGTTTTCTGTTATTATTAAAAAAATAATGAAACTCAGTTTAATCAAAGGCATTCTGTTAGCTCTGGACTGTATCCTGTCACCAGCAGACATCATCTGGCAGAACACAAAGAAGTGTTAGATCAAAATGCCTGAACAAATGCAGAAGCTTAATAAAAGTAAATAGTCAGCTTTTACAAATCCAGGCAAAACAAAAGTCTCTTTCGTTTTGATCACTACAGAAGTTCAACAAAGAATGGCAGACAGATCTCATTATTAGTAGTGCTTGATATGGTTAATATCAGCCTTATAACTTACCTTTATCTACACACCCGCATTATCAAAATATACCATTCCAAAACCACATCTATAAACTAATGGGTAAAATAGTTGATGTCATACATTGCCTTATCTTTCCAAAAGGAGTCAAAATCATATGAAATATTGTCCTTTTTCTTTTTCAGAACAAAAACAACGTGAAACTAAATTGCCATTTGCAAAGATCACAAACAAGATAACATTTGCCTTCCACCATTTACCAAAACAAATGCACTGTACGGCTTTGATCAGTATCATATAAATGCAAAAAGACCTCGCTTTTATACTTCACAGTAATGCCAGACAAGTCAGTTTAAGTGGTCCATTCATATAACATTACAAGAAAGAAGATACGATTATTGTGTATTATTAAAGTCCATGTCAAGGCTGGCAAAACTGCTCTAATGTATAGTAGTGTTATCTTGAGTAACGCAAGTGCAGTTGGCACCTGACCTGCAGCTGCTTTAACTGTGTTTAAAGTACAGAGCTGGACAGAATTTATTTAATCAAACAGAGCCTGTTAAACGGATGTGCCATTAAGTACCAAAATGATTTATTATAGACTTTAATCTTGTTGTTTAACTGTATTGTTGTTCTGTGCAACGTTTTTCAAAGCACTCTTGGACAGGACCCCATTGACAACAAGCTGTCAAGCTTAGCTTGGGTCTCTTGTAAAACTATCTTTAACAAATGTGGTGTTCTCATGTCATCACCGCAATCACAGCCTATAAACGTTTTGTCTACTGAACCACAAGATATGTAGCACCTTCATATCATAAATGCAGCATTGCTGAAATGAAGAACAAGGAATAAACAAAAAAGGAAACCATTTTTTGCCTTTTCTGCATCATTGTTTAAACCAGCAGAGCTTTGATCCCAAAGTTAATAACAATGTCCATCCACTACAGGGAAGATAATTTCACTACTGTCAAACTAATCAGCTTGTCTAGTAACTACTATACATGCACTCTTCGTACATACATAGCATATGTGTGCCTCTTGTCACTTGCTGTACTTTCCATATGAAACCACATTAACTGCATTAATACATAGTTTACTGAAGAGACTTCTGACCTCTTATTCCCTCTTACTGCTTTGTCTCCTTTCTTCCAAGTGATGGTTGGTTTTGGAGAGGCTTGTGGTTTGCACTCAATGACAACTTCTTGGCCCCTGGTAATAATTAAAGTTTTCTTCATCTGATTTAGTGCAAAAGTGGGAGCTGAGGCTGTTAAAAAGAAATATGTTAGTTCTATAGAGAACAATCAGCACCTTCCATTTCAACGAATTCTAACAGATGGTTCATCATCCATTTTCACTTTTTTGTTAGGAATCTATTATAATACAGATCATATGGCATGTATACAAAAAATGTCATTAAACCAGCATCCAATTCCAATGGCAAGACTAGAATTTAATCAACCTATCAGTTAATAAGAAGTCGTTCATATCAACATATTAAAATTAGATTATTTGTGAAATCTAGCAGCTGTAGAGAAAGTCTGGAGAAATCAACAATAAAATTAAGTACCTTTATTACAGTAATTAGCTCAAAATATTAGTATATTTTAAATTCCACAAATCCACCCAAAGCTGTTAGTTGTTACAAAGAGTTTGTTGATGGGTTTTTTAGTTGTTTTGCCTTTTTTCTTCCTGAAAACCAGCTGTGGAAAATTGAGAATATGTTTCTAGTTTTCTGGAAGGATTTTATTGTTTGAAAATAATTTATTTTCAAGATGTTTACAATTTTGGCGGCAATTTTTTTTCCAAATTCAGAGATATTTTAAAAACTAATAGCCCAATTGAGTGACCTTTTCATATGTTGAGTAGTACCTTACTCCTTGAACAGTCCCATTGATTTAAATGGGTCTATCTGAAGCATAAGGCACTAAACAATGCAAGTAAGGGTATTGCAGTGTGACTCTAACTTATGGTAATTTTACAATGTGAAGGTTCAGCATCCCTTTGTAATTCCATGGGTCTGTGTACCTGTTAAGCTAGCCTTGCAAAAAATTCACTCAGCAGCAAAAGTGACAGCTCATCCCTCATCCCTCCCCCGGGCCCTCCCCCCACACTAATTTCTCAGCAATGTCTGAATTTCAAAACCTAATTTTGGATAATTTTAATGATAACATTATTAAAAATGGACAATTTAATTTGTTCTGTTTGCTTCATAACAAAAACCAGGAATGCAACTACTAAGTTAATGCATTATTATGGCAGCACAAAATGTCATGATGTGAAAAGTTTAAGGTTACTACAGCAGGATTATATTGGCCATGTTGCATTCACTGTGTAACAACAAACACAGAGATATGTTAGAGTGCATGTTAAACAATGAAACTACACACCGAGAGTACCATAGCAAGGGAACTTTGCAATGAACAGGGTTCATTACATTTTCACAGGTTAGAGGGGGTGAAAATGTATGTGTGTGTCAGGGGATTTGGTTGTGCATCTGAACACACAGTTAGAATTTCCCCACTGCACATTGTCCCACACACAGAATTTGGTGTTAGGTTAGAAGAAATCACTAAGCATAACTGAAGGAGGAGTTTCAAAAAGATACCATTCTGGCAGCAAAAGTACTTGTCAACCCCTAGGCAACAAAGGACACACTCACACATGAATAAAAGAAAGAGGAAAAGAGGAACCCAGCCAAATTAATTATACAGCTTTTATCCAATTCTGCTAAGGTTGGAGATGTAGGATCTCTTTATCATGACAGACCATGGAGCCATGTAATTATCAAAAAGAAAGATGAGAGCAATCCTATTCTGTTCAGACATTACTCACCTAAAATCTTCAGCTCAGCACTGGCATAAATGGTTCCATATTTATTTTCTGCTAAGCATTGGTACATTCCAGCATCTGAGAGATTCACACTGTGGATCATCAGTACACCATTAACCATCTCAACCCTGCTCTGTAATGGAATGAAAAAAATAATTCTACAAAAGCAAACAAATGAAGTGGATTTGCTGGGTTCTTAGTTTTAGGCAAGGGAGCAATAAAGTAAAATAAAATAATAAAATAAATCAATGTGGTTAAAATATAATTTAGCAATTTACTAGAGTGAATTTTTTGGATTGCTTCCTTTTGTTCTCTAGAGAATGAGAAACAAAAAATAGTTTGGGGTCTGAAAAGACCAAAAAATGAATTTCCCTCTTGGTTATTTTATTTGACTGTAAATGCAACATCCCTGAGCACTGTTTTTTTCCCCATGATCCACTACATCAACTTGCTTTTTAAAAATGGTTCAGCAAAGAGTACTCTGCCAACCTTCAGCAATGAGTTACCTTCCTCGCTAAGGAACCAGGGTTCAGATGTAGTTTAGGTCACAAGGGAAATGTGTTTGGTGGTCTCAAAGGAGTCCATAGTGAATGTTTGTTTACATACCAAACCCACCATATAATCGAACACATTACTAGCCCAAACCTGCAATACTTCGCTATGCACATGAGTAGTCTCATTCACAGGAATGGCACTGTTTTCATACAAGACTACTCATGTGAGTAAGGGTAGCAGGATCAAGTTGCCTTTGTATTAATTGCAGCATCTCATCTGAAAAGGCCTATTAATAGAAAATAATTGCTGAAGGTCAGAAGCAAGGTGCACTGACAGCTGTGTAGGGAAATTTGCACTGCATGTGGCTATATGATGAATAATTTGAGCTGGTGCAATACATTCTTCAGTTTCATTACTAAAGACTATTAGGAGTGAGTTAAAATATATTAATAAAATTGCATTTGAAAATGTATATGGGATTACTCAATACCCTTCTCTTTTTTGAGGTCTGAGTTTCAAGTTGAACTGGAATTTGCAAAGTCTGTATTGGCTGTTTGGAAAATCTCAAGACCACAAAAGCACAGAGATTAAAAGTGCTTCAAAGTCTGGACTGATTTTCCACCCACCTCCAGAAAGGCAGATATGGAAAAGCTAAGGCATATAAACTTGTTTTCAGTGCCTCAGGACGTCAAAAATAAACTTCCTTATATGTTTGCTCTCTTATTGTTTTCATAATTGGTCGATTTTCACAGATAGATGAAGTGTTCACTGAAAAGAAAGGCATAGCACATCTTTTATATTTATAAATCCATTCTATGAATTCATTAACATATGGAGACATTTTCTTCCAGAATTGAACAATTTTGTTTTAACCTAGAAATGCATGAAGAGTCTACAAACGATTTTTTTTTACTCCTCTTAGCATTTGGAGGCGATAAAGAATAGAAATATGCTGCATAAAAATAAAACAACGTGAGATGAGGTGATGACTCAGTTGAAAGAAAGAAAAAAATCCAGACCATGCCAATGTTGGTCATTTGCATAGAGAAACACTCTAACATAGATCTTATTTTAAAACTTGTCAGATCAGTGCAGTAAGGACCTGGAATTCCCTGATGGAACAGGCCAATGATATTGGCATGAGAGGTGGAGGCTTTGCTTTTCACAAAAGAGTTATTAAACCATCAGATTTTTACAGATGCAAAAATCAAACATGGCTATTGAGAAAAAGCCACACTTTGTATTAGTGCATTAATGATGAGGAACGTGAGAGCTATAATAAGAATATACCATGTCATATTTAACATACATGTAGCTGGTGATGTTTAAGGGAGTCTGTGTTTATGGACTCTACACTGGTGTAACTTACACATCAAGGAGCAGGTCCACTTTTTTGCTCAGCCATACAAGGGCCATTTACAATATGACCCTATACACAAACACTCAGAAAGATATAATAAACAACTCAACCATAAACATCAGAATGAAAAGCAGAAACAAACAAAAGGTGCCCAATCTTGCTCAGAAGGATATCACTAGTTTACTGATAGTAAGGGCAAGAACATTTCAGAGTCATGGTTTCTGAATAAAAAAAGCCCTGCCTGCTATCCTGTTTGGATTACAGGTAGAGAGTGAAAATTTCCAGCTCCCCTGCTTTCACATACTTGGACATAATTCAACAGACAGACCCACAGGAAAACTGGCGCTACATTATCCAAGGCTTTAAATATGAATAGAAAAAGAAAAATCTCCTTTCTGAAGCATTTCCTCTTCAGCACTATTTTCCCAGCTCACTTTCGCTGAATTAAAGCGGAAACTACAATCTACTGGTGGCTTATTGAGCACTATACCTGTACCCAAAGAGGGACTCCATTCTTCAGCCAATGATAGGTGGGTCGTGGCTTTCCAGAGGCTTTGCATTCCCATCGGAGCTGCTCTCCACTGTCTAATTGAGTATTGTTAAGCTTCTCCACCCAATGTGGGTAGGCTGTAAAAGAGAGATAGCATAATAAATGCAAACACAAAAGGCTGACATGACTTCAGTTGATGTTCTAAAGACCTAATCAATTAAAAATACAGATTGTAAACCAATGTGCAGTCCATCTTAGTATCAGTGACTATATTAAATCACATGCAGATTAAACTCATTTAAAAAAGACACACTGAGGGTCAAAGAAGAAAAGTGACAGAACCAAATAAATTTTGAGTAAAGGATTCTACAGGACTATGAGCTGAGTATCACTCTATCTGGTACTAGAGAGACTTTATGTTTTAATAACATATAACAGACTAATATAGTACGACATAGTTAATGCAGTAATTATTAATATTACACGCATTTATTTTTGATGACCATCATCATAGTATCTGGGAATATTGCAGGTCTTAAGTTCAGACTTTTAAGATCTCAGTAGCGAGTCTGAACACCATGTCTGACTCCCTGACTCAGTAGGGAGTCCCTGCTGCTTGTTGCTCTGTCAGTCCACCAGGAAACTAGGATTTAATCAACTGTGGAGGCCTGTTGGTGAGGTGTTTCATCCAGTTCTTTCCAGAAGTGGTCTTCCTTGTGCTCAATATGCAGGGAGTGAATGTCAGAGGTGTGGGCTGGCTACTCAGTGTCCACACTTGGGACAATCTAGCGCACCCCATGAACATAAATCACATGGTGAGTCAGAGATAGGAAGGCAGACCCTTAAGGTAGCATTGGACTAGACCACTGAGGGGCATATATATATTAACTAGCCTACTGATTTTCACCCAGCAGTCAGCTGGCAACAAGTGGAATGAATGAAGCATGGGACTCTAATCCTGTAAATCAGATACCCAAAGATAGAACCCTTCCCTGTAAAGAGCCTCAGTGGGACTGCATGAGCGTGTAAGTGTCTGCCTATGCAGGTCAGGGTCCAGGTTTAATGTTAAACCAAGGCAAAGTTCAGTGGCAAGGAAAAAATCCAGATCAAATTAATCTATGAAACTAAAACATTTAAGAATAAAACACTTAAATCCTTTCTGCAAGGAACTGCAGAGACTAAGGAGGCAATGTCATTGACTTCAAGGAATACAGAATAATATTTGTGGGTGGGCTGGATAATAATCCAGAGTTAGCACAGCAAAGGATCTATTCTGGACAGCGGGGAATCAATAAACCACTTAAATAAGCAGAACCTATGGTGGACTGAATTTAAAAATAAATCTAACAATCTGTCTAGTGTCTGACAGGTCACCAATCAAGAAGCTGAGAAAATGTGAGCTGGCATGATAGGTAACTAGGTGAGTGTTGAAAGCCTAACTACTGCATTGTGCATTCGCTGCATGGAATGTAAATCAAGTCTACTGCAGTGTTGTAGTTGTGTTGGTGCCAGGATATGAGGGAGACAAGTCAGGTGAGACAATATCTTTTGTTGGACCAACTTCTGCTGGAGAAAAGGAACAAGCTTTTGAGCATCACAAAGCTCTTCTGCAGGTCTGGAGAAGGTAACCAGAGTGTCCAAGCTAAATACAAGATGGGACAGACTGTTAAGCATAAAGGGTTCACCCATACAGTAGGACATGTTAAAATGAAGTGGACAGTTAAGGGTTAGCAGGCAGTACAGTGTGTGGCAAATTGTTGTAAGGAGCCATAAAACCAATGTCTCTGTTACATGCTTGGTTTTTAGTGTCCAGCAGAGTTATGAATTTAAGTTCCCAGGCTCATCTTTTGAAGATGTGCAGGTTTCCTTTGAGGATGAGGACTGATAGCTCAGATATAGAGTGATCATTGTGTGAAAAGTGTGATAAGGTATTTTGTGTTTTATCATTTCTCTGTGTGAGTTCATTTGAGAGCATAATGATTGTCTGGTTTAGCCACATAATTGTTGTTGGGGCATTTGATGTGCTACACGAGGTACACCACACATTGTGATAGACGTGTAGGACCCAGGGATCATGAAAGGTGTTTTGAGGAGGTGTTGATCATCGTAGTTGTGGAGATACTTTTGCAGGTTTTGCATCTGTTGTTCTGTCAGGGTCTAGTGCCGCTTTGAGTCAGTGTGTCCTGGTTTGTGGGGAGGATATATCTGATAATGAGCTTGGCGAGGCTGTGGGGTTGTCAGAAGGCCAGCAAAGGGGTGTTCAGAAAAGATTTCTTTCAGGATGTGGCCCCCATTAAGTACGGGATCTAACTGTTTGTTGCCATTCAAAACAAAAACAAAAAAGTCGAACCAAGTACAACAACTCCACAATGAACAGAACACCACTTCTGGGAGAAACCACGACACCAGAACCCACCGCATGGATACTACATGATACTCCAACACTATCAACCTGTCAAGACTATCCCTAACTAGACCTGAAGTATATGTACTCTCCAAGGGACTGAATTTCTGCCCCACCTCAGAACCTTAGTACCCTACTAACATGTGGAAAATTAGAATTTTTCTGTTGACTGCACCTCAAGGAATTCTTTCACAACAAAGAGGAAATTACCCATAACTACGACATCCCCACTATGATGAGGTTTACCTGGCTTTTTGAGGCCCCCTGATGTAGGCCCTGCAGTTCTACTTCATTCTGCCCCAGGAAGGAGCAGCAGAGGTGGGTCCTCCAGGCCTGCCTAGATGGTCATTGTGGAAGCTGCCAATCAGAGACCAGTAGGCTCAGATAAAAGAAGCTGCAGGGCCTGAGCAGGTCAGTTCCTGGCTGGGACCAGAGGAGAAAGGAAGGCTGCTCTGCTCAGGCAAAAGGAACTCGATGGGCTGATTTACTGGCCCTGGGAACATGAGGACCTGGCAACTGTAACAATAAGGTAATAGGTGAAAGGAAAGGGGTTATGTGGGAAAAAGCATAGGGAATAGGAGCAGCAAACTGGAGGCAGGGGTATATAGCTGCTGTGTATAGAGTCCCTGAATTGGGACCCAGAATAGTGGGTGGGCCTGGGTCCCCCTAACAGCCGATGCTGGAGTGGTGTAAGCCCCAGAAAGGGGACATGGCTAGTTTAATAACCCAAGAAAAGGAGCTAGATTTAAAGGGCTCAGAGACAACGCTGAAGACCCTGGTGAGGGCTGACTGACAGTTCCATCTGGTCCTTTTACTAAATGCCCAAGAAAAAGGCTAGACTTGAACAGCCTAGAGATGGGGCTGAAGACCCTGGTGAGAGCAGACTGTTTGTAGGACTTTAGCTACACTGAAAAGGATTAATCCATTTCTGACTGTGTGACTTGGCTGGAGGACTGAGCCACTGAAGGCTGCCTAATGAGGCTGGCAACACACAGGGGGCACCAGGAGCAGAAAAAGATTGCAGCACCACACCCAACCAACAGGAGGCACTCACAAGAGGTGAGTGTAGCCTGTCATACCCATCAACAGTCATAAGAAAAAAAGAATCATCTCACTGGATGCTGCCCAGTGGGAAAAACCACACACTGTATCATTACACTGATTACCTCAGGAAAAAAAATCGACTGTGAATTCCTCAACAAACATTACATCCACAATAATCTCTCCACCACCATAGGGATAACTATGCAGTCCCTGAAATCCAGCCACCAAATAGTGATCAAACCAGCAGACAAAGGGGCACCATTGTAGTCCTTAATCTTGATGACTATGTCAATGAGGCAGACAACTCTCCATCACCATTTACTATAAAGAACTCAAACTCAAATGTCTGCACACCAAAGTTCACACAAGCATTTAAAAATACCACCAAATCCTTCCACAAAGATCGCTAAGGAAAACTACATTCTCACCCCCCTTGAATTCATCCCAGAAACCTTCTGTATGCTTCCCAAGATACACTCAGCAAACAAAGGGTCAGTTTCCTCCAAGACACATTGATTTCCTCCAGAAACTCTGTAACATTAACAACCTCCTTCAGAATAACATCCTTGCCACTCTTGATGTCACCTTCCTTTTCACCAGTGTCCCTCACCATGATAGCATTGCTGCCTGCTTCAAATGCCTACAAAATAATGAACAATGCTCAGAAATCCACCCCAAATGCATTGCCAAACTCATCCATTTCATCTTCACCCACAACAACCTTACTTTAAATAACAAACACTTTGTCCAAATGATGAGAACAGACATGGGTATGAGGACGGCTTCCCAATATGCCAATCTCTTCATGGGCCTCCTCAAAGAAGAATTTCTGGAAAAATACACAACAAAACCCATGATATACCTGGGATACACTGATGATATTTCCATCCTCTGGTAAGATGACCTAAATTCCCTCTACCACAACTTCAACAGCCACCCCCCGTCTATTAACCTCTCTCTAGCACATCAACTTAATGGACTCCATGATCAGCTTCAAAAATGGAACCCTACAAACAACTATATACAAGAAACCCATGGACCATGACACTTACCTCCACAGATCTAGCAACCAACCCGGACACACCAAGAAAACTTATCTACAGCCAGACACACAAGTATCACAGAATTTGCTCAGAAGAGAAAGTCTGGGACACACACCTAAACACATTTAAAACCATCTTCACCAAGCAAGGACACTCCACCAGAGAAGTAGATCACATCATGGAATGGGCCACCCAAATACCCCAGGAGAACTTGCTTCAATTAAAAAAACAACAACAAAAATCCCACTGACCGGACAACCATAGTTATCACCTACCACCCTGTTGCCGGCACCCAGTGCCGAAAGGCAAAACAACAGCTGGGGATCGTTACCCGGTGTGCATCACTCAATAATCACAATGGGGTGGAGAAGCAGAAAAGTTTATTTGCAGCTGCAAATAAGGTACAGGAAGAATAGAATCTCAAATCCTGCACCCCAGAGCAGGTCATTACACACACTTTTATATTTTTTAATGCTACTGCACTACACATCAGCCAATTAAAACTTTGCACAAATACTCTGCCTTCCTTATATGGGTTACAACAATGTTTCTTTTCTGCAACCTCTAACAAGCATTCCTAGCAACTTAAACAACCAGCACATTTTGTCTGGCCTTGTAGTTGTTTCTCTCCTATTATTTTTAACTT